TATAGGGTAGGCTGGTCTATAAAAGAGGGGAATGCAATGTGTGGGTAGATAGTGCGTAACTGAACTGCAGTCGGAAGTATTGTTGACGTTCGTTGATTAGCGCTTGTTTTAACGCGATTGTTGAAGTTGAGTGTATCGGTAAAGTTATATTCGGAAAGAATAAATCAGTTTTATTAAGTAAAGAACTTGTGTCGCAAGTTTCGTCGGAACGAAGTTACGGAAAGTTAATTAACAAACGGAGACGTAACACTATTTTGAAGTGTATTGTACAGGACCAAGAATGAAGGCAGTAAGATTTACACAAACCAACCCTAGTGGAACCAGTAACCTTGGTTGTTGGGTAACCAACATGAAATATTTTAATGACAAGCAGTGTTAAACACTGTCGTAAATTAGTAAAAAAAAAGTGCAAGTTGTTGTGAGAAATTTGAAGTAGTTTTGATGAAATTTTGTTTACGAGCTCCCCAGATATCTACTTTAAATGGATAAGTAATCGGATGAACGGAGTTTGGTAGCCATTTCAATTTTACCAACATAATATCTCAATCTAGGTCTCAACGAGTAAGAATGTTGGTGTCAAATGAAAGTAACGTTTAAAGATTCGCATAGCATGAGTACCTTTGGAAAGGAAGAATGGTTAATGTGTTATGGCTCAAAATAGTGATCTTCTTTTGGGTAAATATTTGCTCAATAACACAAGCCTTACCCAATTTCGCATCAGATTTTGATGATTTAGAATGTGGATTTGATGATGCTGGGGAGGGGAGATGAAGGCAACTATGTCACACATCTCCGCTTTTAGCACTACCTTATTCAGTTTAATATTGTTGAGTACTTTGACTAATATAAATCAATTTTGCGGTCATACATGAGACATTCATGTACAAGTAAACCAAAATTCACAACCCAGTGTTAAGTAAATTTATTGATAATGTACATCACAAAATACATTACTGTTCTTTGCCAGCAAATATACCCGAGCAACTAAAAAAAAAATGCATTTCGTAACATTTAAACACTTCACATGAAATAGTATATTATTAAAAACAAATGTTTTTAAGTTGCCAGTTATTATACAAACATAATCGTTATATTTTATATGGGTATGTGGTAAATTCAGGGATACAAGCTTGATACACAAATCAACAAAATATGATATTTAATCAATGCTTCCACTTTTCAGCACCAGATGCTTCATTTTTAACACCGACATTTTTCTATGATGTCTCCACCTGCTTCTTTAACTCTAGACGCTGAATACATTTAACATAACTGAACCTATGGTTAAACTTATTGAAAACAAGAAAATAATAATGAACATGTTTTCTTGTCTTTCTTCGAGATACTTTCTTGTTAGAAGACAGAAAAATTAAATTTATTAAAACTGAAAAACAGTAACCTTTATTTTTACCAATTGCTAAAAAAAAGTTATTTCTTAAACATAAGCTAAAATAATATACAACATCATACACAAAACATTGTGTATGCTACAACATTAAAACAGATAATCCTAACATCGTCTTCCTACTACTTTATAAGAAGGCAGTTAATTATAGAAACTATTCCATGGTAAACAAACATTCTGAAAATAGATGGTACTTGACTAGATTACATCAAAACGTGGAATGCAGAGTTAACTAATGAAAGCTAACTGGAAGTTACAAATTATATGCAATTTGTAATACAAATAACTTGAAAAAAAACAAAAAATCAAATTGGAAGCACATATTTGTAAGCCAACAAATGAAAAAATACATTTCATAAATTATCCAGAAATCTATTTCAGTCTTCAATGACAAATAAGTATATCTATATGCAGTGGTGCAGCCATGGCAGGGATTTTTATGATCCATCACGAGTTTGTATTTTTTAACAGTACAGGTTTTTTTTTGCGAGAAGGTTAAATCAGTGAGTAGTTTTTCAAAACATAAATGCTTTCCTGTTACTAATAAATAGCTGTAAATGAAACAAACAAAAGTATAACAATTTATTACAAAATAAACAAGTATATTTTCTACCATGTATACATTTGCAAGTACCTTTAAAATTAGCTTCTCATCACCTTAAGTACCATACTATTATTTCACTGATGCCAGGAGTGCCAAATTATTGACAGTTTAGTATACCAATAAGAAATTGTAACTAGTTGAGTGCACCAAAACTGTGTTCTAATTATATTATTGTAAATTTAAAACAACAGAGTACAGAAAACACAAGCCACATTAGGCATTTTCCTGGTAGTTTAAATACCAATAAGTTCGAATGTTTTACCAACAAGTTATATAGCTACAAAAAAGGGTAAAATTCTACTGGTAGTCACCAGTACTGAGTACCGAAACTTGTTTTTTAAGGCGGTAATAGTACCAGGACTTATTTGAGCTGCTTTTTCGGATGCACGTGCATTCCATTGTTCTGGCAGAAAACATTTATTCATTGACACTCAAGTTGTCATTATGTTTACACTTAATTTTCTTTTTTTCAATAACAGGTCCACTTCACTCAGCTGAGTACCTCTACTTTTTTTTGAGAATTTCACCCCTGGCTACAAACACAGAGAGAAGTACATTAAACTAGACATAACTAGCCAAAGTATACAGTCTAATATCACAGGTTAAGAAATATGTACATGAAAAAGTTTATGGTGATGGGAAGCACAATAAAAACATACATACTGTGGGTGTGGGTGAATTCATACATTAATACATTAAAGATTAGTAATGAAAATACTTATTTTGCTAGAGCAATGAGAAACCTTTCATCCACTGAAAGCTATGACATCATAAATAGAAATGCACATGCATACAGTGCATGACAAGAAATGGTTTGTCTTTTTTCACTGAAACACTCTTAGAAAAAAAGGATGAGCATAAATAAATCATTCAGTTTTTGAATTTTTAAATTAATATCCTGAAATATCCACATTTTGAGAAATAAATTTTAACTTGTAGTTTCCTAAAAACAAATTGAGAAAAAATACACAGCTCTATGTAAAACAATTTTCTTAGTCATACAAATTTTCAACTTCTTTCTCAATGTTAAAAGGATATATAATTAACTATTAAAGGTATAAAAGGAACTCAAAGTAAAATTACAACGCAAGACCCTATGTTCAGCTGTTGCCTTTAAACACATGAAGAAAATAAGTATAAAATTTGACTGGATATAAGTACAAAGTTACATGCAAGTATTTTAGTCACTTGTGCATGAATGCCACATGTTATAGTCTACTTAAAATAGCTACAGTGTATACCAGTCATTCATTACCATCACTTAGAAAACAATGTGTATGGTATCGCAAACACAAGGTGAATGTTATGAAGGCTGAGTATAAATGTAACTATTTTATCACTCACAGTGTACATGTGTAAGTGCAAGTAATACTTTGTATACTGTTTATTATCAGTCATAGGATACGTATATAACCTCAGTCTAAATGTGTATAACTTTTATAGCCAGTCAATATATCTGTATTACCAGTCAAAAGACGAGAGTTTAAATTGTATTTCAAATTAAGATATATTTATGATCTTTGTTACTCATTTATAGGTCATACATGTTACTGTTAATACCATAGTATTTAGTAACATATCATTACTTAGTCATATAATATGCATGCAATGAATGACTTTACTGACAGACTAGTTTCATATCTTGAGCTTAAATAATCATAAGATTTACAAGTGAAGATTAAAATAAAAATTATATGATTAACAAATTCGAGTTACCTGAGAAGTGCTTCTACACAAAAAATCACCTCTTAACACCAATGAATTTTATATTTATGCTTTTTATATAGCAAATTCATGCAAAAGTTATAAAATTAAATTACTATGCAACCTTTTGTGTGTGCAATGAAAGATTTTAATACAAGTATTTTGTCAAGAGACATACATAACAACTGTATTAAAGCCCTTGCATAGGAATTTAATTTGATAATGAAACTTATAGTTTGCAAAAGTACTTTTATATAAATTTTTGAGTGAACTCTTACAGCAATTATCTTTAAACTGCTAACATAAAACACAGAAAAATCAAACCTGTTTATATATCTGAAACAGGAATTTAAAGAACTTATAAAAGCCTTGTTTACCACAATCTTGTTTTATTCCTACATCTACACATAAATCCCAGTAAATTCAAAATAAAATAATAGAAAAAAAATAGAATTACATTACTTAAGTAAAACTTGATAAATGATATAAGCAGATGGGAAATGTGTATATAACACTGTTAAGAGTTTAAATTCCTCTTTTCATTAAAGCTGCAATTCTGAATGAAAAACATACCAACAATTTTCTTTTTTCTCTATAATTGAATGAAATGAACCTAGGGACATTTTCATTTATCAAGTCCATTCTATATACAGTTTAATGTTTTATCTGATATTCTTTATGGGTTTTTTTCAAAACTCAAAATTCTTTACATGTTTTTCTGATTATTTTAACTTTCTTGAAATTCCCATGAATGGAATCTTCTCATGCAATTTTTAGTTTCCACTGATATCCTTGATATATGTGAACCCTGAATTTTGTGCTAACAGTGTATGAGGGAAAATATATATTTTTTTATTTATAGTAATTAGTCATAAAAAAACCCATTCTACAAAACATGCCGAGATTCAGTTATTGACTAGATAAATTTACCTGATCTTAGCCTCTTGTAGAGTTCTAAAAAATGCCAAATTCTCTCATCAACAGATATGTACTCTACATTTTAATATCAATATAAATCTGATAAAATAACTTTATAACTTTGTGATTACTTGATGTCAGTTTGGTCTTACAGTTTCTACAATAAACTGTAATAAGAATGCCAATTTTACTGGTATGTTATTATATTAAAAAAGTACAATGTAAATTAATTCACTGAATTTTACATCACCTACCTATAATGCAATCAACTCATTTGTAACTTGAGGTAATCTACAGCAATTACCAATGAAAAACAAACAAGTATAGTCTTTATATTCTAAAACAGTGTCAAGAAAATATGAAACCTTAGTTTTGTAGAATAATCACACTCATATGCACAAACACTTATGTTTAAAAATATCTTTGATAAATATTTCACACACACAATTATTCTATCCTTTTAAATAATATGACAACAAATTATTAAGCTCACAGCAACGTACAATATTTTGTAGACACAATAAATTATTTTCAAATACAAATAAAGAGTATTTAATAATCTATATGATATGCTCTGGCTATTATTAAATCACCATCGAGTCTAAACAAGTTATATCATTACGAAAACAGAGCTCTAAGTTTTGTTAAAATGTGTTAATGAAAATATTTCTCATAAATACAGTAACTTCCAATTTAGTCTTTGTTGTTTAACCTTTCATCAAAACCTTATCCTTTAAAGAATTAGGTTCAGTAAGGCTACTCTGAAACAGTTATGTTGGAAATCCACACCCCAAAATATAACTAGACATTTGTACATACATGAGAATTTTGAAGAAAATGACTAGAGATCCTGTATTAAAATGCTCCTTTAAACATCACATTAACAGAAAGCAGTAAATCACTTACCACTAGGCAGAAACTCTGAGAGGTGTCAGTAGAATCATATATACATGAGTAATTCTAAGCATTTCATGTATATGTGGCTCAAAAGATAATTATGCTGGCAAAGTATTTTAAATTAAAAACAAACTTACTGATCTACCATTTATACAAAAAGTTGATCGTGTTTTTCTGGTTGTTTTTTTACATTTAAATATATATATGTAAAATATCTTTCATTCCAATGGCTTTTTTCTTAGTGTGAATAGGCCAACTACAAAAGGATGAACAAAACAACACAAAACATCTTGTCTTCATTGTTGTTTCATTTTCTCTCTGAAAACTGGCTGGTCTTTCTTTAAATCATAAGCCAGTTTCTTTAAAGTCCCCCATCAAATGCTAGTTTTGGTATAGGATCACGACCAGAATGCTATAAGGGAAATAGAGGATAAAATAGAATAAAACACAACACATATACACGTAAACATAACAGCATACTTTTCTACATCAATAAAGTTCTCCCAAAAGTCCTTAAAGGTACACATAAATGCAACATTTTATATATGTTGGATACCTTAAAGCATGAAAATTTGGATAACTTAGTAAGTGCCTACTAGAGAAATAAAAACTATTACAAAATAAACTATTTAACCCATGGAACACTCCAACTCAATGGTTTTCAACCTTTTTTAAATTCATGGACCCCTTCATGAACCAAATACAATTTTGCAGACCCCCATAATCAGAAAAGTCTACATACAGAAGCTGGTTTTAAGGTGTATAAAAGTGGTACAGACATAAACAAGTTCATAAGTTAAGGAACCTTTTCAAAGAAAACATTACTTTTATTTAGTCAAACACAGTATAATTTTTTCTTTTTTTTTTTACAAACTATACTATGGAAACTCAATCATGGATCTCTATAGTTCAAGGACCACAAGTGAGAACCAGGACACTAATTTAATCAGTTGTACATAGTTTAGAAATATCCAAACAGTAACACAACACTGTGTATGTTACTACAGGGTAAAAATACACAGAAAATCAGTTACATGTTCAGTTCTTTAGATAATAAAAATAATGTAGTTAAACTTTAACGAGGAACCAATAATGGTATATCTTATACTTTGCCTATGACATTTGAATATGTTTTCATTTTTTTAACAAGTACCAAATATAAAAAAAGAACAAGTGTTTATGTAACACTTCATAAATTTACTTTTTCATGAGAGTTTAATTGTAAAGTTATATATAAACCCATAAAAGATATAATTATATCTATCTATAAACCACACACCATTTACATCTACCCAGTAAAAATTTGAAGGGATTGTTGTTTTAGCTCAGACACTAACAGAAGCATTGGAGCCGGAGGTGCTGTTGTAGCACTCCCTTTTACATATTTGATTTGTGTAGCAACTGTAATGTACATTATTATATTAATTTCCTGGGGGCCAGACCCCCTTTACATTTAGCTTCTTTTAGCAGCTCCTTGTATTTTCAATCCCTCATTGTAAAAAAGCACCCAACTTTGCAACTCCTTCTGACACCACTGACTAGATATCTATTTCTCCAGAGGATGTGTTGATGTGGGGCTTAATGTCTAAGTTTCTTGAAACTGTAGGCATTAATTTGAAAGTATAAAAATGCAAGTTAGGGGAGAGTAGGTTACTGAGATTGTTGATTGATTGCTAAGTAATTCAGTGGAATGGAATTAAATTATTTCTTACTAAATAACCTACCCAATGATAAAAATAGTTAAAACACTTGCGTTAGAAGTTGGATTATTGTAGTAAAAATAGAATAAAATTTAGCCCAATTTTCGGATGACAAAATGTGCTTGAAATGTAATTTAAAACTTGCTGGAAATTATGAAATAACAGAAAGATGCTTAAGAGGAAAGACAAAGTTATTGAAAATTAAGAGAAGATCAAGAAGACAGAGATAAAAAATAAGAGGAAAGATATAGAAATTTATTAGAGTAATTACAAAAAAAAAGAAATAAGATTTACACAAGAATTACAAATTCAAATGGAAGAAAAAGACTGAAAATGTAAATATTTTAGTTTAAAAATCACAGAAGATGTATAAAAGAAGTATAATAATAAAATCAAAGACGTTCAAAAGGACATCATTGAAGTACAGAATGATTGTGACCACAGGATTATAATGATTGAAGGGATTTCCTTCATTAATCTAGCTACACCATTTCATCAACTTATGGAATTTAATAGGTCAACTAAACTACACTGCTCAATTGAGAAGTCAACAGATTATGATGGAAAATTACAAAATGATTCATATCAAGAACAGTTTGAAATAACTTCCAAAGTGAATGGATGCAGTAGTGAAGAGTAAGCTAGTCACCTTGCGGCAAATTTAAAAGTACCAGATATAATGATATTAAGCAACCTTACAATTGAAAACTATACAAGTTACCAGGCATTAATGGCTGTCTTGCTGAAACTGAATAGATTTGGAATGTTACACCAAAAGGAAGTTTCTTAAGCAAAGATTAATAGAATGACCTTAACCAAACTTGCAAAAGATGATAAATGACTTGCCTAATTATCTTATCCAGATGCTCAATGTGAAATGATAGATTTGTTGACATGTGAACAATTCACAGATGCCATGGTACATTAACATACATGGTAGTGTGTTGTGTGGCCAAAACAACCTGCGGAACAAACTGTGTGTTATTAACAGGAGTGATAGTTTAGTAATTTTCCACTTTCTGTAGCTTGAACTGTGGTAATCCATACTATCACATATTTTCAGTGGATGTGCTCTAGTGAACCCTTACTTCACATACCAAATTTCAAGGCAATCCATTAAGAAATACAGGAGATATAAAATCTCTAATTTTGATTCAATTTTTTCTTTTTCACCAAAAGTACGGAAACTTTATTTGATAGAAAAACATATTTAACTTTCATGTCTTTCTTTTTCAAATTTGGTACATTGACAGATCTTCTCAACCTACAATTAGATTTCAAATTTGATCTAAATATAAGCCACCTGTGCCAAGTTATTCAACAAAAACTGTTCAATTTTGACTAAAATTTTTGTGCATGCCTAAGCAAAAAGATGCATGAAAATCAGTCTGAAATTTTTACTACAGCTTCACCTAAGAGTAAAGGTGGACTGTTTTTAACCATTCAGATTAAAGACAGTTATTTTGTAACAGCAAAACTATAGAGTGAAAGAATGTGCAGATGCACAAGTATTCGTTACGCCAAGCAAACTACATTAGCTGTTTCTTGCTCCAGTTTAGACAACAACCATATGAGTGGACAGTTATTATTGATTATTTACTGCCAACTTTTAAGCACAAATTTGCTAAATTTTATGAAATTCTCCTAATTAAACAGCATTTAACGTCATGAGATATTAGCTTAAGCAATTAGCATAAATAATAATGCTTGATATGGCTGTATTGAGTGCATATGGATGATGTCAAGAAACTGTTCATCTAGTTTCCATGACATTACTATAAAGGAAGTTATTAACACTGTTTCAGAGAGGAAGATCTACCACCATATATTTTACAAAGAATCTGGTTGGTTCTGTAAAGTATGAGCCTGTTCTGAATAATAGGGATGCATTCCTAAAGCTAATGTTGATTACTATCGAATGTCATTTTTCTTACTTGCTGTGGTTTGTTGGTGTGTATTGACAAAAAGTCATGTTATCTAATCAAAAACACCTTAGGTGTGAAAAAAAAAAGATTGAGCATGTGACTTAAAGGAATGAAATGAAAATTGGTGGCCAAATTGGTAGCTACACTTATAGAATCGATAAGAATTTTACAGCAAATATTCATTCATTAGTTAGCTAGGCCACTTATTTTGTTTTACCCACCATCATGCCCAAGTTGAACAAAAAATGCAGGTGTTTTTGATTATATTAGAATATCCAAAACAGGTTAAAGCAAAATTGTTGTACATTGTTAGAGGAAACTGTCCAGTTAGAAATGGAACTTGAATCAATTAAAGTTTGAGATAAACAATCTTAAGTGCCATCCAATAATTATGGAAGTCTAGAAAAAAGCAAAGAATTAATTAGACAACTGTTAATTCAAACTGGAAGAAGTAAACCACAGGACAGAATGTGTTTCAATTGCAACTACTAAGAATGGAAGAAGTAAATTAAAGGACAGTTTGTATTTAAATTCAATTCAAGAGGGCATATTTCCAGGAACTGTATACAAAAGCCTTTAAGAAATAGAAATTGCTCCCAAAAGAGGAAAAGAAAAGGTGTGAACATAAGAACAGAGACTGATGACTCAACCATTAAAAATAAACCAAAGAAATGATATCCTAGTAATAAGAATACTTCATCTTCCTCCAGTTGAACTAAGGAGTACATTACTTAAAGAAATCAGTCCATATGTCCATAGATTCATCAATGGAAGGGCTTGCACTATGTTTATATTAACATTGGTTTTAAGGCTACAATTGTTGGACCTCATCTAGTAATGAAAGGTTGGAAATTGCCTTCAAAAAAAAAGCAAGAAGATAGAATGATGTGAACAGCAAGTGGTCATACAGTTACAGCAGAAGAAAAATTTGAATTATTGTCAAAGAGAAAAGGTTCTCTACACAACATGATGTGCAGATAAATGACATAGACGTGACATCAAACTACCTTCAAACTGTTTCTAAGTTTATGACCAGGAAATCCTTATGCACTGCATGACAGTTACTCTATCAGATGTTGAACTTCCAATGATGAGGATGAAAGCACAAGATAATGAAGACAACAAACCTAAAGTGCAAGAGAGCAGAATCCAAAAAGACAAGGTGGTCCAAACCAAAGGTCATTCACTATGATCATCTTTGGGGGTACAAAATGGTTAGTTTCAAAAGTATTTGTATTTGTTATTTATGGTAAACTACTAAGGCTGTACTGCATTCCCTAATTTTCAAGTACTGACCAAAAGGATGGCAGTCAGTTAACAGCACCCTACTACCCACACTAAGGCGTTGATTGTCACTCTTATAATGCACTTACAGCTTAAGAAATGGGGAATATTTACTGTATCACATGGATTCAAACCTGTCTTGCCAGTTTCAAATTGCAAAGCTCCACCACAAAAAGTTAGTAAAACTTTAGACGGCTCGAGGTTCCTGTGTAGACCACTTTCAGTTTTTCCAAGAATGGAGACAATCTATCTGAACAGAACTCCCCCAGTAACAAGGCAGCAATTGCTTATAAAAGGCAAGAGGTCATTCCATCTTTGAACCATAAGTCATGGAAAAAAATCAACAGTTTTGGGGCAGTAAATAAGTGATGAATAAATATTTTTTAATCACAATTTTGATTTTTGTGAGTATTAATATTCTTAATAGTGAAGGTAATTCAATGTTACGTCTGGAAGTTTAATATGCCATTGGTTTCTTTGTGTAAAAGGACTGTTTAGGGGATTTCACAATCTAGGGAGGGAGCAATATGGTAAACTTGGTTTCACCAGAGGGAGTGTTGTTGTCAAAAAATGAGCACCATGGAAGTTTTATATTTTTCATAACAACAGGCAACTAATTTTCATAGTTTTAGTTTGTAATGTTTTTACTATTAAAAACTTATTTTTCCACATCTTTATATTACAGGTTGCTTGCTCATCATAAGTATCATGAAGAAAATATATTTTCATAATTTGTATTTATTTATCAACTTCTATGGGCAATGGTTGGATTGTTAAATGTTCTTGGCATAAAACTCCTTTAATCAAGAATAAACAACTGGTAACAATGACATAGTGTAATTCTTAAGTGGTCAATTTTTTTTTATGCAAAAATCTGATTTTTATAACTACTTAACTATTAAATATACTCATAATCATAAATACAACTCATTTACACAGGATGTAACCAAAATCCCTGTAAACAGTTATGTAGGAAAGTATTTAGTGCTAAATGTATACTTAAGAAAGATTTCAATAAGAACTTTCTTTAGTTCTTTATTTTGTAATAACCCTATGAACCTAGCTGCAATTATCATAGCTAAAATAATGTTTCATAAGCTACAATAAAAACAGAATCGTAAAAATCCTAAGTTTTCCTAAAAGAATGGAAAGGAATTATCTATATAGATGGAATCACAAAGAAAATTATATAAATTCTAAAAAAAACTACAGCTTAAATGTTGTAAGTCATGTAACACTAAAATTTTATAAAAAACATTTAAATCAATAGATTTTAAATATATTTCAAAAGGATAATTAACAAAGATTGCGTACTTTTCCTCTCAAATGCTGTCGATGATCAAGACCTTCCTCAATCAGTTCTGTTTCCCAATCCTCTCCCTCTTCGGTAGGGTCAAAGCTGTATAGTGGCATAAGGTGATGCCGAAGCTTGTCCAGTCTGTTAATATTTTAGATTTATAGCACAAGCATGCCAAATAAAAATCATTTTTCATTTAATAAAACTTTTTATATCTAATATATATTCAGACCACTATAACCAACTTGTTTTTGGCATCACTCTACAAACAATAAGAAAAAATTTCAAAACACAACTTTTCAACAAAATCCATATCTCTGGCTATATACACCAGTTATGAAGCTCATGATATTAATTTATATATAAATATATATATATAGATCACATAGAAAATAAACAAATTTGAAAACCATAAATAAAGAAATGTTGAAGACATTATTTATATCTTTAAAGTAGTTCACCAGATTAGTTTCATAGAGAAAATTTAGTACTATGAAAATATCAATTCAATTTCTATTTGAAACAAGTTTTGTATTACATACATTTCAAAATGTAGTAAAAGTACTAAAAATATTTGCTGCCCAAGGTTAGACTAACAGCTTTATGGTGGTAATGGTTTACTCATACATATACTTAGCAATTACGTTATCAATAAGTAGGAAAAAAATTAATTATAACGGAAAGCAGGAAGCAGGGATCATTGGTTGTTCATGGAATTGCTATAAGAAGTATCCAAAACAAAAATACATGTTGCAATAAAAAGTACACAAACAAGTAAAATGATACTAGTTGGTTAGATTTTAAAATTATTTTCAATCCCTACTTTGGTTGGCATTATGACCTGTATAAGTAAATGAAGCAGTATAAATTTGCCAACCAAAGTAGAGATTGAAAATAATTTTAAAACCTAACCAACTAGTATCATTTTACTTGTTTGTGTACATTTTATTGCAAC